TTTTGAGACAGGGTCTCATTTTGTTGCCCAAGCTGGAGTGCAGTGGTACAATCATAGTCACTGCAGCCTCAACTTCCCTCACTCGAACAATCCTCCTGCCTCAACCACCCAAGTAGCTAGAACTGCACGCACACACCATTATTATTTTCTGTAAGGATGAGATCTTGCTATGTTGCCCAGGCTTGTCTAGAACTCCTGGGCTCAAGTGACGCCCCCACCTCAGCCTCCCAAAGTGCTGGGATTATAGGTGTAAGCTACCGCATCCAGCCCAATAACTTGTCTTTAGTGAAATATGTACAGAAAATTCTTTGATTATATTCTGGAGTACATCCTGCCAAATAGTGCCCAGTCCTCCCTAACCTACATGATGAATAATTTAGGGCATTAATGTTCATCCATCCAATGCAGTGAAATGTACTCTCTTTTAGGGTTGAAAAAAATCTCTTAGCTTTCCAGGGGGTGCAAGAAGCCCTGCATGCAGCAAAGAAAGGAAGCCAGGAAGCTCCGGTGTGAGGTCCGCCTGGGCTGGGACTCCACACTACCGTCTCAGGGAGTCGGGCAGTCTTTGTGGGGCTGGGCACTGCCTCTTTGGCTTCCTGCCTTACTGGGCAGTGCATCTGGCCATCTGCCCCTTGGACTTTGGACTTTACTTAAGAGAAAACTCAACAAGGGCAGAAAGCCCAGTTCAAAACGTCTCTCTGCCTAACAGCAGGCCCCAATAGCCCCAGCACAGCAGTGTTCTGGGTGTCCAGTTCCCACATTTCCCGAGCAGCCTGATGCTTGCCAGGTCCTCTGCACCAGGGATATTAAAGTGACTCAAGGAGGCAGGAAGCCATTATTCAAGGCTGTGGGTTTCCAGCAGGAAGCACAGATGATGACTAAATCCTAGTTTCTGTCCTTTAAGAGAGGAGCCTCTTGGAGAGACAGGAAGTAAACCTAATTTCAACACACCATGCTAAATGCCAGGATATGAGTGAGCACCGAGGAAAGCAGAGACTGGGGGAGAAGTGGCCTTTACTTTCTTCACCTATGGTGGGATCCCTCAAAGACATGAGGATGTAAACACTCCAAGAAAAGTTGCAACAATTAAATATGATATTATACAGATACTGATTATTATTCATGTTTATGACCTAGAAATTCTTCATGGGAGGGCTGAAGAGGGTGATATTTTAATTTCTGGTTAAATGGTTGAACTGTGTGTGAAGCAAATGCTCTAAAGAACTGATATAAATTTACTTGATAGTGATGATCTAAACAAGTTCTCAACAAATATGTTGAGATCTGATATTAAAATTTGGGGAGGGGCCAGGTAGCTCACACCTGTAATCTCAGCACTTTGGAAGGTCGAGATGCGTGGATCACTTGGAGTCAGGAGTTTGAGACCAGCCTGGCCAACATGGTGAAAACCCATCTCCACCAAAAATACAAAAATTAGCCGGGAGTGGTGCCACACAGCTGTAATTCCAGCTATTTGGGAGGCTGAGAGAGGAGAATCTCCTGAATCCAGGAGGCAGAGGTTGCAGTGAGCAGAGATCACACCACTGCACTGCAGCCTCAGCGACAGAGTAAGACTCCATCTCAAATAAAATAAAATAAAATAAAATAAAATAAAATAAAATAAAAAGTGGGGGAGGGAAACCAAGATGTAATACCTGGAACTGGAGATTTTAGGAAATGATCTGGTATTTTTCTGAAGGAGAAAAGAACAACTCCTTTTAATCTTTTGGAAGTAAGTCTCTTCCACTTTCAACATTAATGGTTATAGGTCACCATCCGTTAAGAAGATGTGTTTTGTCTATTTCCATTAAAATGTAAGTTCTAAGAGGAAGGAACAAAGTTCTTTTTCAACATGGTATCTCCAGTGCTTGCTATATAACAGAGACTCAGTTAGCTTGCTGAATGACCAAACTAATGATTTCAGCTTCTGGTAACATCTTTGGAACTTGAGGGCATACATCTTGGCTTTTGTCTTTATTTATTCATTCATTTTGTGCCCTTCTGGGAATGAACTAGGACTGTTTCAATGGAAAGAGAAAAAAAAACGCTGTCATAGTTTGAAAATTGGCATATGTTTTCTGGGAATGAACTAGGACTGTTTCAATGGAAAGGAAAAAAAAAAAAACGCTCTCATAGTTTGAAAATTGGCATATGTTTTCTTCCAGATTAAATTCCCTTGGACCTTTTAATTTATACTAGAATGAGCACCTTATCTTTTCTTTTCTTTTCTTTTTTATTACTAAGCCCAACACAGTGCATGGCATGCAGTAACTGTTCAAATAATGTTTGTTTAATTGATGGGCTTTAAGCTCGATAACTTAGCTAAGCCCTTTGCACAGTCTAAGCCTAATTTGGAATGCTTTCAGGCTTACCCAGGCCAATAAAATTTTCTTGCCTCATCTGAATTTCCTGAAAATGTGATTAATTAATAAGAATCATCAAGATTAATTAATAAGAAATCGATAGCAGGATGGGTAACAGGCCCAGACAGTCCCACAGATCACACCTTCCGCCCTCCATTTCCG